GTATCACTGTATCACACGCTCCCAATTACACAATTACACACACGTCCGGATCTTCTTTCCGCGACGGCTGCTATACTCCAACTTGTAGTCGGCTGGCTGTTACTTTATAACTCGGAATGTCTTCGGCGGTAGCCACACTGGAACTCGAACTCGATCGTAACGCACTGTACAGCTCATTTATATAGCTGCAGTGCTTGCCTGTGGCGTAATGAGTGCCACGTCACAGTAGGACTTTGATTACGGGTACGTGGCGGTGCGCGTTACGTCACCGCGGAGGGCTGGCGGGGAGCGCTACGTTACCGTGGGGAGGAGAGCGCTGACTTACCCGTCGCGTCACTGCTGGTGGGGGGGGGCGGGTTCTCAGTCGCGCAACATGTTACAGTATTAAGTGTCAATTTTTAATTCACAAATCAGCACAAAAGACTGAACATGCTAAACATGCCAAAAAATTTAGGACAAATTACTCTCTAATGCTGTTTTCATTGTACAAAAAACCATACTGGTTCCTTATTTCCACAATGAAAACGATCCTATCCTTAAAGGTTTTTAATGTAACGCCATACAGCAAAGTCCTTCCTGAGGATCTAATAGTTGCTCATCTACTCACATAATTCCCTGCCTCTTATGGAACACAAGTGTTTATTATCATGTTCACAAGAGCCTTCACTGAACAACACAGTAAGCACTCTTTTAAATCACCTGAAGTATAAATATGCACTTTCTTTCAACAAATCAATGAAATGTCATAATAATGAACTACATGTCCCCAAGTTCCCCAGTTTCATGTTCAACTCCACTGCACGCCAAAATAACCTTAAATAGGAGTTTCATTACATTCAGCCTAGTCCAAAGTGTGAACAAGCAGTCTTCACTCCAATGTACTCTGCATTTTTCCTCTTTCACAGACCTCCCTCTACATTTTATGCATTCATCAGAATTACCAAACAAAAGGAGTCAGAGGGGAACATATCTCAGAAAAGTCAAGCACTTGTGTACAATTGCCTTAACATACTGATCAATAACCTTGATCAGCAAAATATTACAGGCAAATCTTTTATCTTGCATACACATTCCCCCCAAGCATAGCTAATACGCTAAGACTGGGTCTACCTGTATGCTATATAGCAATACCTTACCTCAGCATAAACTTACCAGAGGCACAGATTCTGGATCCTTGAACTCCACATAAGCAATTCCTTTGAACCTCCTGGTCTTGTTACATGTGATTAATCTAACATCCCGAACCTGCAATACATATAAGAAACTCTATGATAACAAAAATCAACATTACTCACTCTGCATTTGTACTGCTACACTATGGTATGCATTACACAGAGGCACCTAATGTATAGATAAAATTGCCTCATGCCTAAGCACCATGTGCAGAGTCAAGATTCACACAACTGCAAAGCCAGCACTAGATGCATGCGAGTGGTCAGTGTGATACTGTTATTTTACATCTATGGAAAGAGGCCTGCCGATGCATCAGGTAGGAGGCTGGATGGACCACTGGGATCTTCTGAACACAGTGGCATACAGAAAAATCTGTTACCCAAGCCATGCAGTCTATACCCAATCACTTTACTGTCTGATCAAATCTGGTTCCAATCTACTACTATTCTACATGACTGAGCAATTCTGGTTTCAGTGTACTATTATTTAACCTTACGACACCCACTATTCAGCACAATTTCCTACCATTAATCTAAATATTATGTTTCAATCTACTATTCAAACACATGCTATCATTAAATTTTTTTGGATTTATTTTGTTCTTCGATTACTGCAGTTCTTCTGTATTGCTGGCTGTTCCCCTTCGATGAACTTCCCTTACAACTTCACGGTGCAAGTTCAGTGACTAAGCTGCTATTGGACGCATCTGCAGGAGTCCTGTATTTTGCATTCAACAAGCACAACTTGTGGGTCATACTGAATTTTAGGTCATCAAATCTCCTCCCCTTCAATTACAACTTGAGTTTCAGCAAAACAAGAAAAGTCACATGGTGCTAGATTTCGGGTGTACTGAGGGTGCAGGACAACAGTTACATCATTTTAGTGAGGAATTCATGCAAAAATCAGGGTCAGCAGAAACACTGTTGTGATGGAGAAACTTGACAGACCTTCCAACAGATGCCACACAGGAGTAATGTTGGCTCAGTTTGTCCATGCACAAAAAAAAGAAAAAGATCAGCATGCACTTCACACTGGAAAAACTTGTCTTTTCTTTTTCATTATCTCTAATGGGCTTTCAATGAGAAGACAGCTGCTCTGATTCAAATTTTCACTCATAAAACCCCACTTCAGAAACTGAAGATCACCCACGAGGAATGTGGGTCCTGACACAATGACATGACTACTTCTGCTCATCAGTCAGTAGACCAGGAACAAACGTTGTGGCAACCTTTAACACTTTCAGATCTTGAATCAAAAAACTCTGATATGACTAAATGAGATTCTCACCTCAATGGCATATATTTCATAAATATGTCCCTTGATTTATGCACATTTTTATGTATTTTACTTCGTTATGGATGTCCTGTACACTCAGCAAACATTAAATGATGCCAGTCCACTTCAGAACTTGTAAAATCACTCAAGTGTGTATGTTCTACTCATTGCTTTTGCAGCAGTTGTCTAATTTGAAGAAAAATTTGATGCACACATCATATTCTTTGAAATCAGCAAGTTTCTAATAAAACACCAATAACATGGGCACAACACATCACTATACAAGGTGTTACATCTGCTTTATGTAAACAATGGAATTAATGCCAAACAGCTCAGCAAATTCTACTCTTAGCTCCATCTTACATGGTTCAATCCAAAACTTCATTAGTGCCGTAGTGTCATATTGTGGCTGGTCCAGAAATTATCACAGTTAAGTACATACATGTACAATCACCAGTATCTTTCATTTAACACTTTGTGGACCAGTGGCATATTTTTATGCCTACCGCTTCTAAACGTGGCGGACCGGTGGCATATTATTATGATTTTAGGACACGTTATGTTGAAACATACTATACCTTGCACTGACGCCAGGGAGACACATGACTGGTGCATGATAGACCTCTTGAATGTTTGCTTTGTAGTCAATAACATGACCCTGCTGTTTATGACCCAACTGTTTTCCTTTCCCACTCCAAAAGAAAACGTCTTTGTTCATCTTCCAGCTACATGCACCAGGCAGGAAGTTACTAGTGCAAAATGGATCAAAGTCAGAAGAGGTTGAGGTCCAAGCGTTTTCTTGGAGAACATGAAATATCTGACTTGTTCTCCGATGGGCTATCTGATGTCCCTTGTGAGTCTGCTAGTGATAGCGACTCACAATCTGATAGTGAGCGTGGCAGGGGCGAACAAAAAATTGTGGCCACAGACAGTGAAAGTGAAAGTGACAGTATTTTTGACGAAAGTGCGGGTAGCAACATTCTGGGGACAGCCACATGGGCAAAAGTAGACAAAACGCCTGCTTTGGGAGTGTTTACTGGAAATCCAGGGGTGAAGCAAATTCCATCGGATCCAACGCAAGTGTCTGAAATTAGCGGAACTGTTTTTTTTAGATAGTTTCTTTGATATGCTACGTCAGGAAACTAACAGATACTATCTCCAACACTGTGAACATTACGACAGAAGTTATAAGCCTTCTAGGCGATGCCGTGTTTGCGCAGTACACAACAAAAGGAGTATGACTGTCTACATGTGCAAGTTCTGTGTAATGCCACTTCACAAAGGAGAATGTTTCCAGAAATATCACTCTCAAGCACTTCTAGGAGCACTGGTAAGTGTTCTCCAAAAATTTTAGTTCATAAAATTAATTATGAGAGTTTATATTAATTTTTAAAGTGAACAGTGCACAAGTTAGGGTAGTAGGTTTAAAAATGCCCGTCCCCAGGGTGATTTAAATATTTAAATCGCTGGTCCGCAAAGTGTTAAAATATTTTGACATGTCTGTATGGTAACGGCTCAATAAACATTTCCCAGGCAACAGATACAAACACAACAATGGACAGCACTCTTAAAGGCAGTGCTTTTATGTGACCCATCATATACAGAGAACCTTTGGGTGAGGTAGTGCAGTTGCAAGTCAATAAGTCAATGGCCAGCCAGCAAGGACAGAAGCTGAGCATGGCAGCAGTAAAAGAAATCCACATCTGAAAAGCCGTTACCAAGCAATGGGTATGTGAAGACAAAGTGAACAGAGGAGATATAGTATGCCACAGTGAACTGTAAAGTGAGCAGATTAGAGAGGGAGCTATAGCCAAGCAAAGACTAGTGAAAACAGACTAAAAGACATAGTGTGTGCTGTAGTGAGAGGTAGAATGCATGAATTAGCAATAGCATTATAATTACTTGTAGTTACAAGTTATGTGTTCAATAAATCCAATTACCAAACCAAACCCTGTGTCTAGTAACTAACACATTACAATATGTGCCAACCTATACACGACCTCATTTATGCGATTGGCTCTTGGGTCTTTACACCAAGCAGTTGTGGGAAGTGTTGCTGACATTTAGGAGGTACATGACACCCCCCATCTTCAGAGTCAAGAATGGAGAGGGGGGAGGCTGGTAGCCATTTAGGTCAATAAAAAAAGTTGTGGATGTAAGGTGATGGCCCCAAGAAAGAGTGCACCAAAAACCCAAGGTCAACAGATGTTCCCAAGCAATCACTCACCCAAGTGCTCACCTGGAATAACACTGTCTAACAATTTCAGCTGTTGGTTGAGTAGCATGAAGTAGCAGGGAGATCAATGTTAGTCAAGAGTGAATATCAGAAGGGATGGCAAGGAAGGACCATCACAAATGGAGATGGATACATGAGGAAAAACTGTTAGTTATACCCTTCCACTGAGTAAATTCCAATTACGGTTTCAATGAGCCATCTTGCTTCTATTTTTTTAGTCTGCTGTTTTACATGGTTGTCAGCAACAATTTCAAAACCTTCAATGTCAAAATAAGGAAGAATAATTCGGAAAACGAAATGTCTTGCTATTCCCGAACTACAATTTATTCTGGCAAGACCACAAAAAACAGGACTGTTTACTAGAGCTGTGTTTTCCATTTGCCATACATTTCTAACTTTGCCCTCTTTCTGCCTGCATGTAAGGTGGAATTTCCTCTTCTTTATCTGTAATATCTGCAGGCTGTTCAGGACTTTCACTCTCATACGGCATGTATTGAGGTTCTTCAGTACACTCACTGTCTTCTGTAATTTTGAATTCACTGGAACATGTATTATTTACTACTCCCCTAACAGTTTTGGGTAATACACTGACAAAGCAGACTATCTTACTACTTATCCTTGTACCTGCCCTAGGATTTTCCACCTCACATGGGCTGCATTATGAAATAAACAGAGATAGGAAACTATTTTTAGAACAGTATAGTACCTGACCTCTTCTTCATCCTCCAGTCATGTTTCAAAATGTTACAAATTCAAGCAGAGGGAAGAGGCATTCACTGACAAAAAGAGAATATTCAAACTGAGGTGTAAAGGCTGAGTCTAACTTTAGGTGGCATCATTTCACATTTCTAATATGCAACGATCTCCACTGTTGATCCATAAATCTATACACTCTGAGCTGTCAAACAGCACAGATTTTATGATACTAAGGAATGCATTTTTTACCATGTATTATTAAACTTTGCAGTGGTAGTTTAACACCACCGGTTTCCTGGTGAGGCAAGCTGTGTGGTATATGTACTCTGGCTGGATTTAATGTGTTCTGGTGCAGGCTAATTTTATGAATTTCCAAATAACTCTACTGATGAGGGGGTGATGTGGGAGGGAGGGGGCTGCTTTCTTCATGCCTCAGCATCTTTGAAGTACATCCAGCGCCCATGCTTGACTGAATGTTCTCAAATGCAGACAACAGAGCCTTCTGATGCTCCTTAACTGTGCAGCTCATTTCATTACTCTCACAGGATCTTGTACCCAAGGTTTCAGATCAGGGCACCCTTGACTGGCTTGAGAATGCTGCATATCTTGGGCAGCAGTGAATGTATTGGACCTGGATCAGTATCCTACCCATATGGTCATACAGATAAGCATACACAGCAGGAAAATTCTGCTTGTCTGTTTCCCTTGGTCATCCCCTGGGCTGAAGTGCTCTATGGATCTACCTTATCCATGTGGGGGCAATAACACTGCTCCTTGAAAGTTCTTCTGAGTTGAGGTAGTTCAAGCCATACGCTGCTTGACTATAGTAATTTGCAATACAAAAGGTTGTGAATTCAAGGTATCTTGATGAGATAAGGGAGTGAGTGAGTGAGGTAATGAGCGAGTCTGATAAATAAGTGCATCATCTTGACATAAAAACACCTCCTCCTCCTCCTCCACTGCAGATAAACAGCATATGACACTGCTCTAGATCTCCCCTCACCAGGTTTAAACTTATCTAGCCAAGATGGATACCATACTGCAGCATCAAAATTGAGGACCAAAATTTCATGCACTCGATAAATACTCAAAAGACACATCTGGATATGAATGCTGGTCTATCTTCACATGTGAAGTAGAAAATGCTTATGTACCAAAAAAAAAATCTTAACCTTTAACGGCCGAATGTTATAATTATTGGCAGCAAGTAGCAAGCCAGCTGGCCGAATGTTATAATTTTAGAGGCAAGCCACGTGCTTCCTTTGTGAGTGCTGGCAGTTTGACCTCGGGTTTAGAACCCAAACAAACTCATGAACTTCATGTCAGATGTTTATTTGTTAGCTCTGAACAATGAAATCGTTTATCATGGTACTGGTTTTGAAGCTATTTACGTTTAGATATGACTGTTTATGACCTGGTGAGCCAATAGAAGTCAGCTTTGTTTTGAGAACTTAGAGGAAATATTCCTGGGCACTTGCAGAGCAGTGCTAGCAGAGCTTTCAAGAAAGTGTTATGCATTCAGGCATTGGTTTGCAGTGTTGTTTTCTCAGTTAGGACGTAAGTGGCGGATTTTCTAATATTTCGTTATTAGTTAGAAAGTGAGTGTCAGACTCCTATTTCTTTGTATACCACTTTTATTGCGTATCTTGGAAGAGGTATAAACCCACTGAGCCAGTGTTACTTTGTGCGTAGACATCTTCGTCACTGTGACTTTCGGTATCAGTGGCGGACTGGCACTTTTCGACTGCTATTGCAATTATTTTGCATCACAATTTTGCGAATGTTCCTAACAGTCTCACTTTTTCAATCATAAATTATAGGATTTAGCTGGAAGCCCCTCAAGATGGAACCTCAAAAACGACCCCGATACTCAAAACTCCTTGATGCTGAAGAACTGGAGGAAATATTGATGGAAAACGAATCTGATGAAGAGTTGGAGGAACTTTATGAAGTCATTGAACCTCGCGAGCATATGTCATCATCATCATCATCATCATCAAGTAATGAGGCAGGGGATATGGAAATCAGGCTTCGCGATAGAAGACCCGGGGATTCGCCAAAGCTACTAGATTTCACTGGTCCTCCGAGTGGAATCAACAGATCCGCTGCTCCCAACATAAATGCTCAGTCCTCTCCCTTTTCCATTTTCATTCTCTTTTTCCAGCATATATTCCAGATATTGGTAGAAGAAACAAACAGATATTTTCATCAATTTTTGGCAAGCCAAGATGCTCTAGGTTCTTCTGCTCAACTGCCTGACATCACAATTGAAGAAATGTCAAAATTTTTGGCCATAATAATTCAAATGGGCCACGATCAGCAGGACACCCTGAAAGATTACTGGTCGAGAGATGAGCAGTACTACACTCCATTCTATCATAACACCGTGGTACGCGACCGTTTTTTCCATATTTTGAGATTCCTGCATTTTGAGAATAATGAAGCTCCTCCAAATCGAGATGACCCAGAGTACGACAGGCTCTGGAAGATTAGAAAAATTTTCAACAATCTTAACAGCAAATTTTGTGAACTTTACCATCCATCAGAACATCTTGCTGTTGATGAAGTGATAGTGCTGTTCAAAGGAAGAGTGTTTTTTTGGCAGTATATTCCAAAGAAACATAAAAGACCTGGAATAAAAATTTACAAGCTTTGCGATTCTCCAGGCTATACATATGACATGACTGTTTATTTGGGGAAACAAAGGCAAATTGCAACCGAAGAAATTACACCAACCCATGGCATTGTTCTCCAGCTAATTCGAAGAGTAGAAGGCTCAGGACACAAAATTTATATGGACAGCTATTTCAGTTCCCGTGTTGTATGACGATCTTCTAGAGCGTAAAATAAATACATGTGGCACCGTTCGCAATGACACGCATGGAATTCCACAAGAAATTCGGCCCAAATCTATGAAATTGAAAAAAAGGGGATATTGTGACAAGAGTGAAGGGGAATCTAAGTGTTGTTCGTTGGAAAGACAAGCGTGATGTGTATGTTCTGACGAATATGCACCCTCCTCCATTGGATGGCAACTTCCGAGATGAATCTGCCCGTGCTATCAAACCTCATGTAATTGAAGACTACAATGCACACATGGGCTTTGTGGACAAATCTGATAGAATGGTTAACAGCTATGGCATTGCTCGGAGGACATGGAAATGGACGAAGAAATTATTCTTCCACCTCCTAGACATGACTATTCTCAATGCATATCTGTTACACAAGTCATGTGATGGAAAAATGACACACAAAAAATTTCGCGAAATTTTGGTGCGTGATTTGATTCTTCAATCACATGAGGCGAATATCACAGTTAGTGGCGTTTCTCGGGGGAGGCCAAGTTCATCTGGGGCCCAACTGAGATGACTGGAGGTGAAACATTCAAAACACTGGCCAGCTAAGGGGAAACAAAGACGTCACATTTGTTCTACAAACAAGAAAAGCAGGAGCATGCTTTTCTGCTCTAAAAAGTGTGATGTTGCGCTGTGTGTGGTTGACTGTTTCGAGAAATGGCACACACACATCAGAGTGTAAACTGTGAAGTGACCTAGTCCAAACCGTGTACAGTCCGAACCAAATATTATTGTATACTAGCTGTGCCTGGCCACACCTTGCTGTGGCTCAGTCTGCCCGTTCTTCCCCAGTCTGATTTGAAATTACTCGACACACAGAACACCCTGTAGAAGTGTTTGGTTTCCATGGAAGTATACTTTCCGGTTTCATCCGTTGTTATGCAACGGAACCTCTTATCCTATGCAACGGTCTGTTCTAGCGTTACTATGGAAACAACTGCGTTGAAGAAGAAGAAAGGAAGTTATAACAAAGACATATGAAATTGCAAAACATTAAAAAAGGAAAGAACATGAACTGGAAACCAAAGAAGAAACAAAAAAATAAAAAATACTGACGAAATATTTCAATTCAAATGCAGATCAATCGACACAGCTTAATCCCACCGCTAATTGAACCGGAAAATAAGGGAAACAGGAAAACGAAATGAAAAACAACGAAAAATAAACTATACTCACGAAATGAACGCTATGGTAAACGACACAGCCCAATTCAAAAGCAGATCAATCGACACAGCTTAATCACACCGCTAATTGCACCGGAAAATAAGGGAAACAGTTAGGAAAACAAAATGAAAAACAACGAAAACTAAACTATACTCACGAAATGAACACTATGGTAAATGACACAGCTCAATTCCAACGCAATGCACCATGAAATAATTAAATCAAAATGAAAATAAATCGAAATCTATCACACGAGTATTTATTTTTCCTCGCTTTTACACTTCTACACTTTGCAAGAATTGCCACTTGCAGTAACAAAACTAATCCTATTTCGCCTAGCTTCTGGCCCAGTGCTATGCTGCCTATGTTGTCATGGCTGGATCTCAACTGTCTCTGGCGGCGGCTTCCTGTAGACTGTTTATATTCCTAGGCAATGATCCGCTGTCTCAACAGTTCGTTGCCATGGTTATTCCTAGGCAACCATCCGCTGTTTCAACAGTTCGTTGCCACGGTTATTCCTAGGCAACGATCCGCTCTTTCAACAGTTCGTTGCCACAGTTATTCCTAGGCAACGATCTGTTGGTATTCAATGGACAACGTATAACACGTTTTTTACCTGTTTTTACCTGTCATGGGCGTGACATCTATATAACAGGTATATAAAAACGCGCGTGTTCGAATGCAACGTGGTGTCAAAATTTCAAAGCAATCGGTGAAGAACTTTCGGAGATCTTCGACGAGAGACAAACGAACATTTACATTTTTATTTATATAGATAGTGTCATCATATTTACATCATCAGCATGATTCAAGGTTGAAGAAAAACAACGGGCAAGTCCTTTAGAAATTCATAACGTATATAATAACGATTATATTTTGCATTTCACAACAAAATAATCACAGTTAATTTTCATTTGTAAAACTTGCCCTTTTGTTTATACGTAGAAAATTTTATTGTCTTTCAGGTTCTTTTTAGTTCATATTCCGATGTTGCATAGAACGGAAAATATGCATTTTTTCTGAAAGTTTGCAATGTTAAAGACTTGGGGCCATTTAAATTCCGGCCATAAGAGCTGCTGGCAATTTAAAAGTCTGTATGTTAAAGGTTAATGTGAGATAACAAATTTGAGTCAGGGTATGTTATGAGATGTGTACCTTCCCAACAGAAGAAAAGAATTCCTCCAGATCTCTGGCCCTAATTCTCTGGGACAACTGCATACAAAATACTGTTCGGGCATCTCGTTCCTCAGGAGAAAGCTCATCTACTGGCCTCCTGTTAAACAAAAGAAACAATTTCATTGAAAATACAGTCATGTCAACTGTTCACAAATTTCAATACTTGGTTCACTGTAAATTCTATCACATCCAAATGATAAATGCTCATAATGCTCTAAGCAGGGAAGAGCAACCTACAGCATGTGAAGGGATGGTACTCCAATTCCAAGCCATGAAAAATACAATCAGAAGGCATAAGATTAATCTGCCACGATCTTCATAAGCAGAAGCTAGACTTTGAGCAATAGGAGGCAAGGAAAAGAAGCTACTAAAAACAAGGAGGAACATACCCTCATATTTTCCATTCTGTCTCTACTATTTGAACTGAAAACATTACTTGTACACATTATATGCATAACCCACCTCCTCCTAAGGTTCCGTGGAATTGTCAACAGTACATTTTAAGAAATGAATGGTACACACAGTATTCCATCACAACACTGCCACATCAGCATGCATTACAGAAGGCTCACCAGACATCTGGACTGCTAGGTAATGTTAAAAGTACAAGGACTAAGAGCAGCGCGACTACATTGTAACTATGGTAATGGAATAGTGGAACAGGGGGAGTTGTGTGTTGAACTTTCATGTTCTGCATCACGGCACACTTAATGGTGCAACTTCTACAATGTAAACTCCTTCCAAATTGAAAGGTCTAGCAATTTACATTCTAATATACTAAGACTATTATACTGTAATAGATTTGATCGTTGCCAGGCAACACCTCTGTAAACACAGTCCAATACATAACAATAGAGGAAGCTGTGTTTTCTGTGTCCACGGTGACATCGAGCATCAGTAGGTGGCACTCACATGACATGTTTCCTGTGATGCATGTCTGTTTTTTGGCTATATAAGCGACTGATTTCGTTTGGTTCAAGGATGAGTCAGTTCTCAGTAAGAGAATGATTTGAAGACTTTATATGTGCTGTAGTACAGTGATATTTGGAGTGTGTAATAGTTCCTGTGTTATAAATCCACGAGGACTAGTACTGACAGACCGAGAAGATTAGTGTGAAGTGATTTTAAATTGTGTAAATCAGCAACAGTGTTATAATTATTTGTATTTATGACCAGTAAGTACTGAATAAATCCAATTAGCAATCATAACCAGCATCTTCATCACTGGCATGTGACAATATGTACCATTAAGAAAGGAAGAAAAAATAACTTTTCTTTTTCCATCATTTAACTTCATATATTACAACACACCTGACACAGTATTATGATAAACTTTATGACATAACTGTAGTGAGTGAGAAAGTGTTACATTTCTAAAAATAAAACATTAGTCAAAACAATACCATTTTTGCATAGATAACACCTACATATGAAAGGTAAAGCTTATCCCTGTTAACAGGGCCTGGAGGCTCGCAGGGTTGTGGGACATCAAGGCTCCCACATTTTTTAGACAACTGGCTCACAGACAGTGGTGAGGTCAGCCTTATGTGGCAGCCACTCTTTACACTGCAGGAAGATTCCTGGTACGCATTTATGTTACAGGCTGAGTCAAACCCAGGGCCATATTGCAGTTGGAAGGATTCGGTAAATCCAGCAACCTCACTGGGAACTGAACCCGTGACCTTCTGGCTTGTAACATGGTGCCTCAACCATGTTACCACATGCGCCCATACATTCAATAGTCCATACCACGTGAATTTCTACCTTGTTGTTATATGTAGTGTTTGAATTCATGAATTAATAAAAAGTGATGCTACAGGAGAACACAGTATGATTCACATTCAACAGCAGTAACTCTTTCATTATCATAAATAAAAAATTTTCAGTAGAATTTCACTAATATGGTGGGTATCAATGAATGTACTCTCACAATCCAGGAACAAAATTTATCAATATTACAACAAAAGCCTTCAAAGGTTTCAAACAGATGTTTCAAGTACAGAAAATACTCACAGCCCAAGAGGTGGGGATCCTTTCTTAAAAGGGAACTTTTCCCGAGGACGTGGTAGCAGGATAGGGGAGAGAGATTTCTTCTTACGCTGTGTTCTCTCCCTTTCTATGTCTCGAGAACGATGTTCTCTATCCCTCTCTTTACTCCTTCGCCGTTCACCATGTCGCTCACGATGATGGGACCTACTCCTACTGCGCCGACGCTCTGAACGGTCCTTCTCACGATGACGATCCCGCTCACGGTGATGGGACCGGCTTCTACTGCGTCGCCGTTCACGAGATCGGCTGCGGTGCTTGCTCTTCCTGGCAAAGTTGTGATTTTCATTATTCTCCACTATACCATCTACTTTATTTCAGTAACTTCAACTTACTAATAAATACAGAAAAGACAGTAACTACACATGAAGTAAATTACAAATGCTTAGCCATCATAGCTTCTGTGTGTTATAACTTACTCTGATGAGAAACAATGGTCTCTGCCTGGCAAAATTATATACTGAATCAACTGTTGTATATTTTTACTGGTTCACAATTACTTTATCATATTTCCCAAAGAATGGTATGAGATATTATGATAGGGTTTACTTATAAACCAAGGCAGCATGTTGCAGCTGCCACATCAAGTGACCACACCATACTCACCAATGATATTACTATTGCACTGCAATGTACTGAACAGTTTTCTATAACAAACAGAAGAACAGTCATCATTCATTTCTACTGCCAGTTTCAAATCATCAAAAATTTCAATGATGGTGCTCATTACATGTTATGATCAATCAGACGGGATGGATTACTTAAACCTGTAAAAATGGTGACTCACCCAGATGATTTGTGACTGTTCGATGTCCCATTCTCCCGCTGCAAGGCCGTCTTGCTGCTCGACCCATCATCCTATGAAACAGCCACACAAAGTGTTGGTAACCCACGGCAACGCAACCAGGCATCACGCAGGAAGAAAAAAGGAAGAAAACACACACCAGCATTCCATTAATATTTCATTCTACTCTCTTTGGTATGAGACTAATTAAGGAGGGGTGGTGTCATCTTCTGGCTCCAGGCCCAGAGGTCACAGATCGAAGCTCGGAGGTCACGGATCGAAGCTGGCTAAACCATTCACACAACATCGCTGCTAAAGGAATTTGTTTCAACCCACCAGAAGATTTAAAAAGGGAATGGGGGGTGGACTGGATTATATGTGAATTCCCCTATTAACCTGTACGACTCGTTACTCACCTCCTATATGACACGTGACTGTCCTCCTGCTCGGCCAAATACAGTACCACATCCTTACTTCTGCAAAGATACAGCTCATGAGACATCTCACGTTTGTTTTCAAAAAATTTTTAATGTTTCAATGAGATTCAATTTTGAGAGTGCAAGTCTGAATTTTGACATTTTTTGTCTGAGCCCCAGATGAAGCACAATATAAACAGGAAAACCACAAAGCCTGGAGAAATAAAGAAAGTTTACTATAGATCTGTGTTCATCACATCACAGTAAACTTGATGAAATCCATCAAAGCTTTGCACTGTCCCCTAACATAAACCAACAACTTCCACGTCACAAAATAATCTGGGCATCTGTGTTCTATGTAATTCAATACACCTGACATTGCGTACATGTCTTTCCATGTCTTAACATGTAAGAAGCATTGGTACATGATTTGTTGAGTAGGCTGTTTAGAGGTAAATGTAGGTTAATCTCACCTTCAGGATCTCGTTACAGATCAGGTACCAATTTTCAACCAGAGTCGAGCTGTCAGCGGAGCACAGCATTGAACACTAACATGTTAATCAAAGTCCCCACCATGAACAATCATTGTAACATGCATTCTCTCAAGCACACAACACATACAATCTGTCAATCACACCAAATCAAGAACCACATACACGGCTAAGCTCATCTGGCCGTGGTTGTGTGTAAATGTGCGGACTAGGCTACTGTGCATCTGGGAGCGTTTTTATTGGAAATTTTGGCCTCCACAGCCTCCTGGTTTGAATCTTCATCCGCCGGAATGTTCGAGCGATCAAGCATCTCTTGGTTAAGAGTGACTGTTGCTTGCAAACCCATCTGGGTAGGACCCTGGGGTGACAGAAGGGGACACATTCAGAAACCTTGCCACATAAAACTACCCATAAGAATATTTCCGCAGCCAAAACTAAATACTGTGGTACATATCTACATACAATAGTAATTTCATTTCACATTCCTGTTAAACTTATTATGAAGAAGCATAACATATCCTTCAGACTTGCATGAAATTATTTCATATTAAATTAAAAAATAACAAAACTGATATGTTATCCTTCTGTTTGCCACTAATGTGAACAACTAAAATAACCACTATCTAGAACTTCAAATAAAACTAATTATATAGTACAGTAAATTATATTTTAATTTGTTGGCATGAATTAGCACTAGCAATAATTATGTTAAACTACAAATGAACAAAGATACCTAACTAGACTTTGCAGTACCTCTGTGCTTTTGAGCCCCAGCCAAGGTCTGTGGCTCGGTTCTGAGCCAAGCTGTGACATGTAAGGGTCTACAAGATACAAAAATGGAGGAGTCCATGTCAGTGATATAACAACACGAATGGGCTTGGAAAAGATAACAGACTTGTACAAAAGGCACTGTTCAGAACAAACTAGCAATCAAAAAGAGTGCTTTAGCAAAAGTGGTATACTAAACTGGTACTGTGTAATAAAAAACAAAATACTGTATTTCATATATATATACTGTGAATTTATACCAAGTTTGTAGAACTATGCCTGATGTGCAATAATTATACAATTCAATATAAAAATTCAAAACACTAGCTGCAAAATTATAAATAAACATTGATATTTGTAATTTCATATTTCAAGAACCATCACAATATCTATAATATGTATGTAACTTACTCCTTTCTTATATGGGGCTTCCAGCATAGCTTCAACATCAAAATCCTCAGCCATTTCTGGAACAAAACATGCAACATTATTACCCACAAACAAAACTTTATTCTACAAACCCTGATACAGCACCACTCTTTGTTCACTGCAATTAATGGCAGTATATAAAGCATGTTGGTAAATGAAGATAACTTTTTTAACTCACAAAATTTACTTGAAAAAAAAATGTTAATTACAAAATAAAAACATGCTAGAATAACATTTCATACCGTAGTACTGTACTTCTAAATCATCTTCATTCTGTAAAATCTGAGGTTCTCACAGCTGTGGTTAGGAATAGTAATATTTTCTGGGATATAATGCCATGTAGTCTGATGAAAGTCAACTGAGGCTGGCTTTGTTTGCCACCTGCTTTCATGCTGATATCTTGAGTAATATTCTTCGACTCAGATGATAGAGGTGATATGTTCCTCCGGAAGATCAGTTGACTTTCAACAGACTACAAGGCACTATATCCCAGAAGACAATATTCTTCATCTTCATTCTATTAAGGTAAAGTTGTCCCTGCGCTTAACTAATTAAGCACTAAGCAACAGAGACATATGGGGGAGTGGATGTATAGAACCACATTTTTCTTGACCTCAGCACTAGGGGGAGGTAAGTGGTCAGGTGCACATTGGGCCACTTTACCCTTTGGGAACGAGCCTCTGATATCCATTGGTCAGGAGGCTGGGTGGGCCCCAGAACTGATCTCAATGACACTGAGCAAATTCTTGACCCTACCATGACTCGAACCTTGACCAGTCGTCCAGCCTGTAGCCAGTCGCTATACTGACTGTGCTATCCCTGCTCCATCCTTATTCCATTAGCGTGAAATACTTCTCAATCTAGGTTTGAATGTTCTTTCACTGACTTCAGTAATATCAATGTCCAGAGCTGTAAGATGCTTCATTATGTCCTTGTCACCATCTGGTCTGGCTATAACCCTGGCATGGACAGCACAGAAAATGCCATTTCTAACAGCGTCCCAAACTGCGGTAGATGCCACTGTCTAGCAATCGGCTAGGCAGTGTTATGTGTTTATTCATCCATTACCATGCAATGGACAATGATTAGACAGTTACCTCACTAGCACTTTCAGTATTAGGCACTTACTCTTGTGTTGGCTGTACAATTTCCTCTAATCATTTCTGAAACAACATGATCCTCTGCATCTATCTTGATAAATTCTACTACGTACACTGTGCTGCAGCTGGTGGATGATCACACACTGCATTTCAAACATCTAAAACCGAATCTTCACCTTGAACCTGATGTGTACTTGCCACTATCCCAAGTACCTTGCAGTTCCTGGTAGTTTCTGGTGAAACTTTTCCCCAAGCCAGATTTATTAAATATGGGGTATCCTTCAGCAGCATATAAATTCAAGTGCTCTTAATACACTCCACAATCTTCCTTACTTGGTGCTGTCAGTGTGACTCAAAACTTTGGACAAACCCAACATCCACATATTGTAGACTGCTAATATAATTTGATGAAAGTACTCCGAGCCCACAGTGCTGATATTTGTGTGTCTGTGGTATGGCGCACTGTCTATTGGTAACAAAACTTGGCATTTTTTCCTTTTTCATTTCTTTGCTTCAGTCACTCAACCACTCACTACATTCTGATGTCATCAATACCTTTATACTGTTTGTAATTAACATAACTGGAATGACACAAATTCTGAAAGCAGTGTGGTTTAGCAGATTCTTTAATCACTGTTATAATTCATTTGTCACTCCCATTCAAACTGGAGAAAAATGCACGGGTAATTCTAGCTTTTGTTTCCCTCCAGCCTTTTACTCGTCCTCAGGATTGTCCCACCAGGCTGCATTCTACAGAACATCTTAGTTTCACCCACGTGGTATAGATTTGCATGATAATACTGTCATGATTTTTTAAAGACTACTTGAACCGCTTCTGCATTTATCTCTGCTGCTTCTCCTTGTAATACATAAAGAAAACAAACTCCACAGCTTGTAGTCCGCAAGAGAACTATACCAACCGAGCGACCGCCGCTTGTCGGCAAAGTTAGTGCACACTTTAGTGGATAGAGGATGTCACGTGGTCAGTACAACGAATCCCCACAGCCGTTAATTTCGATTTTCTAGACGGGAGCCACTATTTCCTTGAAATAGCTCCTCAGTTATCCTCACGAGGCTGAGTGGACCCCGTTCCAGACCAACTACATCTCAGGAAATCTGGTTGCGCAAGGAATCAAACCCGGACCTCTGGATCTGTAGCCAGGAACTCCGACCACTAGACCGCAGAGGTGGTCCATTGTAATACATGCTGTTTACACAGCGTAGCCATCTACTAATGTATCATGAAGTCTACAATGCCCATCGCCTGTTTATTTCCCATATCATTAATGACTGCCTGATGACACACTGTTTTTAGCATATCACTGCCCTAACAATATTGTTAATGCTTCCTCCAATTTATCATATTTTTCATCTTTTATCTTTTTCACGTAACCACCCACCAACAGTTCCCAATTATTTTTCTCACTAAGTACATAACCAATCCAGCATTGACTGATGAGTGTATTCCTTAATATGGCAGAATTGTTGATAATATTCTGCTCAGAAGCAGCAAAAAATTGGTCTCTGCAAGAACAGACATCTTTATTTTTACTAACACTTACTATTGCCCTTTTCTCCATACTAAACTTCACTAATAAAATGAAGGACAGAATAATTATAAATTGTACTGGTAATAAGATATCTGGAAAATAAAGATACAAGTCCAGCAAAAATGCATAATGTCACCATCTTCTGAGTCGAAGAGTAGGCCAGGCAAGTAATACCTGGAGAAGGAAGCCTGTGTTCCACCTTAAAAGTGTGTATACATCTCCTAGGCTTCACTTCATCGCATTCCAGAAAACGGTACTCTTCAAAATTTTTTTACAAATGAAAACCCAAAAATTTACAGATAAAGAATCAGATTCGACGGCCACATAGGAAGGGGAAAATTAAATATGCTCTCTTCATTATGTACGCCGTTGTAAGGCAGCGTAATAATTACTGATATCTGCATTCACGAAACCCACCACAGCCACACATTACATTTAAATACCATACAGCGTAAATAAATACCTTTCCATATATAAATGAAGTGGAGGTTTCAAACACATGCAATCCGCCTCAAATCCCAAGACCCAGCAATAATGGCTTACCTTCATGCAGTTCAAGAAAATGATGCAACTTATGTCAAATTAATAAAAATGTAAAATATATTACCTCTTATTCAGACGTCTGTTTCTTAATTAAACAATGGGCACATACAAGTGCAATATGAAACAACCTTCCTCAGCTTTCTTACAAATACATCCCACTTATTATCGAACTCTACAATCGGGGTTTCACAACCAAGAACACGGAAACAACAAACAAATAACGCTACGCAATACATTTGGTTGCGTTCACAAAGGGAGAAAACGTACTAACCCGACCAATCACGGATTACATGCTTAAATACTTGCTGCGAGGCGCATTGCCTAGCAACCACGTTCAGGTATCTGCCACAGAAATACAGGGAATTCTGTGGGCGAGGGCACACCGAGGAAACTAGCAACCGCAATTTCATAGAATTGTACTCATACTGAGTTGAACACATGTTACTGAATGGAGCAGCGTAAAACGTGGAGACGGCACTGTAGTTTCCTCAATTTATGCTGCTCCATTCAGAAACATGTGTTTAACTCAGGCTGATAACAATTCTCGGAAACTGCGGTTGACAGTTTCCTCGGTATGCCCTAGGCCTTGGTGTTCTATGTTTGTTACCGCCGAAATGCATTGTTCTCGCTGTTTCAACAATTCGTTGTCACGAATATTCCTACACAATGGTCTGCTGGTATTCGATTTTTCGCCGTGGAACTCAACAATGTCCATGTATTATTTTCGAGGAAGTTTGTGTTCCCATTGTAGCCGTTGCGCAGCAATGGACGACATATAACACGTCACAATATATACATAATATAACAAAAACTTATAACAGGATCAAAATACAGAATATGTCTGCTAAAACAATGAAAACAACTACTACAATATGACCAGTGCTTTGTTATAAAAGTCATCAGTGGGTTAGTCCTCATCCTTTACAATCATCAGCTGAATTCAATTAATGTAACTCCACTGAGACGCAATTGCTCCTGCTGGTGTTAAGGAGTAATCAGACAGCTGATTTCCCAGGTGCTTTTGCCCTCAAAAATCTCTGCTTTCCATCATGATCATCAAGTTTATTGTAATAAATAATGTAAAGAAAAAACTACTAGCAGTGGTATTGTATTTGCTTAAAGATCTGCAGAATTTGTATATCTATAAAAAGATAAACTGTCTTCACCTCTAAGTAATCAGTAGTTTTTCTTCAACTGACACACTCACTCACTCACTCACTCACTCATGGAGTTGAGCCCTTCTTGAGTAGCCGCCAATTTTTCAGCTAGTGAAGAACTTTCCAGTATTTTATGGAACCGAAAAGTTTGCTACCGTATTCACAAGAGCTCTCTACTGATCCCTACCCTGAGCCAGATCAATCCAATTCATACCATCCCATCACATCACTCTAAGATTCAATATAATATTGTCCACCCAACTAAAAATTTGTCTGATCATTTCTATATCCAGAATGATCTAAAGCAAGGATATAATTTATCACCACTCCTTTTCAACATTTCTTTAGAATTTGCCATTAGCAAGGTCCAGGAAAACCTGGTGGGACTGAAATTAAATGGGACACATCAACTGTTGGTCGATAATGATGTGAATCGATTGGGCGTTAATATAGATACCATAAACAGAAACACAAAATCTTTAACTGACGCAAGCAAGGATGTTGGTCTAGAAGTAAACACAGAGCAAACTAAATACATGTTCCTATCTCGTCACCAAAATGTAGAGAAAAATCATGACATAAAGATAGGTAATATATTGTCACGTGTTTTCTATGTTACGCGACAAATAATTTCACGTCGCTTCAGATTTAACGGATATTTATTGTACACTTTTATCCACACTTACATAATTCACTGTGTCACATGTACTCCTTTTGCTATAGTCCTTCCAGGCTTCAGCTGTACTCGGCGACTGTCAACCTTCAACTGAATTCCTTAGGCATTCCAGTTACTCTTATAAACCTTCAGTCGGACAGCGGAAGACACACCTCGCTTCACTGTTGCGTAGTCGCCGTGTTTGCAGAGGCGTTGCTGGGAAACGCTGCATAGCAACCAGCGTGCTTCGGCTGGTCTCGGCTCAGTTCGGCTTGGCTCGGTACGGCACGGATAACACCGCTTTCCTTACTGTTGGGAAACCTCGTCCCATATCCCGTTGCCCAACAACGGTTTTATATGTCACAATATGTTTAAAAAATGTGGCACAGGTAAGATATTTGGGAACGACGATAACAAACCAAAACCTGATTGAGGAGGAAATTAAGAGGAGATTGAATTCGGGTAATTCTTGGTACCATTCAGTCCAGAACCTTTTGTCTTTTTGTCTGCCGCCCAAAACATAAAAATGGTAATATACAAAACTATAATTTTGCCAATGGTTCTGCTGACACAGCTGTAGGAAAATTTGTATCTTGTCTACTAATTTGAGATCCTACAATATCCACTACTAAAGAAAAACTTACAATGCTCATTCTGTGAAATTATTTGAGCAGTTCTATATCCTGATTAAGTTTTTTCGCAACAATATAAATACCTGAGTTTAAATTGTAGCGAAAGAATGGATGCACCCAATGTTTCCTTTTCTCCTGTCTTCTCCTCTTACGCCGTCTCAATCACCACCATATCATTACAGCAACAATATTATTATCTGACATTGAAGAAGAAAAGTGCACGAAATTGGCGGCCAAATACGCCCGCTTGAGATGATGTGAGCAACTAATCGAACGTAAGTTTCTTAACTGCACACCTGCTAATTTGGAAACCAGTTACCTGCTTGAAATCGGCGATATTTCTCGGATCTCGCGGTTGCGTTTCGGTTGCCAGTTTCCTTGATTTGCGCCCGGCCTAAGTGTCCTCAGTGTACGCCTGCTGATCTGGAAACCAGTTGCCTGCTTGAAATCGGCGATTTTTCTCGGAAACCGCGGTTGCGTTGCGGTTTCCAGTTTCCTTGGTGTGCGTACGGCCTTACGGAACAGCTGATACTAGGAGCCATGTGGCAACGCAATTGTGAGAAGATTGGCCTTCTCCACTGCCTGGAAATTAGTTTCTCAGTTTCTCCGCGAGTTTCGTTCCCGTTTCCTCAATTTGCGCTGCTCTGTTCATTAACATGTGTTCGACTCAGGCTGATAACAATTATCCGAAATCGTTTTTGCGTTACGGTTCCTAGTTTCCTTGGTGTGCCCCCGCCCTTACTATCACACACACACACTTACACACACATCCACAGTCACATCTTCACTAGCCGTTGCTTGGTAGTAGCTTCCAATTTCCAACATTCCCCTACCTCTGGGTTCCTGAACTGGCCTCGTGTCTCAGCTACCAGCTTTTAACAGCTGCAGCTCACAAAGACTGAACTGCAGCAGTCCTCTAACTCACTTACTCACCAACCAACTCACTAAAATCCACTCCACTGATTAACTCTCACTAACTCTTTTGCTTATAACATCTCGTCGTAGATTGCACAGAAAACTTCATTCGTCTGTTGCTATTCAGCTGTTGCTTAGCAAACCGTACAGAAAACACCATGCCCTTGTTTTTGTTCATAGTCGCTCATCTCACAGTTGCCATCTGGCAACAGATCCCTATGGCACAGTTTTTACATTCACTCTTGACTTTGCTATTTGTTCCCCTACATTGGTCAATGTTTACAATTTGGTGAGGTACATACTTTATTTTCAATGTTAATGTCAGTGTATAAAACTAAATGCAAAACATTAAAATACAGTAAACACTAAATTAATGAAACATTTGATTTGTTGTGGTGTTTTTAAGTAATGGTTGTCTCTGGATCACTGTGGATTTGTCTTCTGTTCAATGCCAACATATAAAATTATATGTTGAGATATTAAAATATTAATGTTTATAATGTAGTAGTGTTATTAAGTAATGCTTTCTTATCACAGCAGAAGTGGTCTTCTCCTGCAAGATCTGAAACATTCATATTATTCTGGAGCGGAGGTTAAGAATAGTGGAGTTATACTTTCATTCTTCCGTAAGTCTTCAAGGTACGTTTTATAGAGCTTAGGAACATCATTGGCTGAAGTTGCAGTTTGAAGATTCCGCCATTACATCAGTTTGAAGAGGTCTCAACTGGAGCATTATGCCCGACATTTGAAAAACTTAGGTTCCTGCGAACTGATATTACAACTACTTCTTTATACGGTTCTACTGGATCATCTAGGAGTTACGGAAAATAATTGCTGGATAGTTGTAAACTGTTGTCGATGTATAAGGAATTACTTTTTCATGGTATTTTTGATGTTCCCAGTGTGTTATCCGAATATATCGTCGTACTACTTTCTCAGTTGTTTGAGCCGAATTTAGTATGCAGGTGTGTTGTAGGTGCAGGTGTTGATTATATTTTGTTGTATTCGTAAGTGGGTGTGAATGGCGTGCTGTCAGATTTGAATTGGGTTTTGAAATACTGTAATATCCGTATGGTTTCATCCTCATTCATTTTTTAAACAAACGAAGTACTATTTCGTTGCTGACAGTCGCTAATGAATCTGCATTTGATGGGAGGAAAACAATGGAGAATTCTTTTGATGAAGACATTGCTAAAGATACAACGGGGATTGTCAAAGACTTGAGCTTGTTTGAAGCGCGTCGTAAAGAGAGCAGTAAAAATTACATGCCTACAGTAGGAAGCAGCAACTACGATACAAGTGGAATGGACCCATACTTACAGAAATTGAGCTATCTGCGCATCAGTGAGGATTCGAACATCGATTCCGAAATTTTCAGTGACAGAAGCAGTCATCGTGTAATTGTTTCTGAGTCGGGTTACGGACGTATAATACCAAAGTCAGTTGACAGTCAGGGAAGATCACTGTCAAGTATAACAGTGTCTGGGGTCGGAGGTAGTACTTCCCCAGCAGGTGAAGTGGCAACCAGTGGTTCAAAATCACTACCAGCTAGTACTATTACATCTCCAGTCCGGTCCATACAAGATAAGAGTGCTACTTATCGTCAGCAAGACAACAGCAAACACACAGTTGGTGCTATTGAAAGTTTTATTGTAGAGGGATCAGGAGCTGTACCAGTAAAGAACTTGTCAGCAGACTATAAGATATATGAGAGAGGTAACATCATTGCTGCATCAAAATTTGCTACTCCAAAGCAAGTAGAAAGTATTGTTTCCTTAACAAACAAACCCACAGCAGAGGGTCAGTGTCCATTAAACAGAGGACATCAAAATGGTTTGGCACAAACTTCAACCGATTGTGGTGGCAAATATCATTGTACTTATGGAAGTAAACATGGTGCTGCAAGCCCTAGCCATAGCTTGAGTGGTTCCAGCAAGGATTCACAACATTCCAACAGTCCACGCACTAGCTTAGTGGGCAGTACTCAGAACTACAACTCTCCAGTGTATGAGAATATTGACTATTATGGAAGTAATCGTACACCTCAGCCTCCATACTACCATCCACTGCCACAACATATGGCCAGTCCTCAGTCTAGCCTAGGTTCACAGGAGTCAAAACATTCTGGCCCCCATATAAGCTTGGGAGCAATGAGTGATGGTGTACACTATGAGTCAGGGTATCGTAAGGCCCAGCCTCAGGTTCCAGCAGGTACGAAGTTCATTTCATCTGCACCCAAAGACTTTCCTCCATATGAGGCTCCTCCCGTATACGAGAATATTCAAGAATTGCAGTTTGGTCTAAAGCCCACACAGAACCACGAGCCTGCAAAGCCAGGACCCCAGGTAGCTGTGTATGGTGAACACAGGCAGTCAGCACCATCAAATTACTGTCCTGTGTCTGCCACTTCACGATCACGATCTTCAAGTCCAGCCTCACCACCACAGCTTGTCTCTCCTCGTGGAAATAACCTCCAACCACCTCCTCCTTACCCAGGGAGTGGAACCAGCCAGAACATACCAAATAATTCTCACAACCAGCAATTTGTTGGGAACATTGCCTCTAGTGTTCAAGGCTCACATTATCCAAACAGTGGTTCAAGCCAGAACATTGCAAACAGTGTTCCTATGGGTCAACTGTCAGAGATGGAACCATTCCCAGTAACTCATATGTACAGCACTACACATGCAGCTGTGAGTTCTTGCATGGTGCCAGGATCACCCAACAAACCTGCCATACAGAAGCCAGTTGGTAACTACTGTCAAGCAACACCAGTTGGTGGAGGAGACTATGTGGTTATGACTGGTGGCAACAACACACAGGTGCAACTTGCAACCAGCTATCAGCGAAGTGCTTCTTCTGGTGTTGCCAGTGCAGTGTATGTGAGTGCGGAAACAGCCTGTAATCCCTGTTCAAGCCCATGTCTTGCTCTAGCAGGTAGTAACAGCAACACCAAGATGAAGATTGTAAGTGGCAAGACGCTTCTGCCTTATAATGTGACACCACCCCGCCCCATGGTGAGTATATGTGAGCCAGTTAGTACATTTATTTTACAATGGAGGTTTGGTCCTTTCCTGTCCAAATCTTCTTCCAGGTTATGTTTCATTTAGTGTTAAAAGTACAGAGCAAGGTATAAACTATGTAAGATTCCTATTTTTCCTTCTACCCTGAAGATGAAGGCGACACGTTCCTCCAAAATGTCAGTTAACACCACATCTACACAGTGCCACATCTCAGAAGACTGCTTTCTTCAAGGTATAAACTGTCATGCTCCAAAGTCACTTATACCTGCAAATATTACTTAGCTTATAAATATTAGTTAGTTAGTTAGTTAGTTATTGGAGAGGGTGGATTTCCCCATGCACTGAGACCTGTATTGGTCCATTGTGCTTCCCTCTATGATTTCTACCAGTCTCTATATCCTACCGGTACTGGTGCTTACCATCAGTCCCGCCCAGCCAGCGAGACCGGCTCTACTAGCTGAGAGGGATCTATAATGCTTCCCCCATCGACCAGAGGTATTAGAGACTGCTGTTGGGCAGGAAACGTCTGTTAATTTGGCTCAGTGACCTCTAGCTTATAAATATTTCTTCATGATTAAAAAACAAGGTCCAGAAAAATGTTCTAATTTCTTTCAAAGGCTTCAGTGTTATAAGTTAATAAAAAGAAAAAGTATTCCAATCCATTAAAAAAGACAGTGTTATACTGTATTTGTAGGTGCATTTATGGTCTGTGTGCCAACAAAATTATACATATACAGCTTCAGTTGTTTCTTAGTTACTGCCATTAAACTGAAAGTTAAATATAGATTTCATATGGTCACCGTGCTCTGTATGCTATGAAAGTATGATCTTGGCATAAGCTGCATGTGTATTAGCTATATATATTGTCATGTGTAGTGGGTTATGCATGACAAAAATAATGGGTTCTAATTTGGATGATTGAATTTATTAGCACTTCAGTTACAAGTTCTCTTAATCACACATATTATATCCAATAAATCCAATTACCCATCCAAGTCACTGTGACACATGACAATATTCTGGAGGATTTCACACAACGTGCCTGTAGTATTTTAATACTGCACCAAATTTCAGGGCCCAACATGAAGTTGTACTAGTTTTGTTTCAAGCTCATTCATGTGGCTACGTTGTTGATGTTATCGATGGAAGGAAATTGAAAAGTTCGGAGATGGCCTTCAGTTGTGATATGTATGCACTGACTTTCACAGAAATCCATCAGTTTGTTCAAACATTGTTAGGGTGAATATACATGGACATAGTACCTTTAGCCAGCCTTTTCTAAGTGTAAAATAAAGGAAGAATAACAGAAACACTAATCAGAACTGAACTGTCATAACATATACACTTTTTAGCCATTAAAGTACTTTAATTTTTATGCTTTTGGAAAAACACTGCATGGCTTGGCAACTGTATGTAAGTAGCCAAAGAGCTAAGACTGCTTGGATTCCATTCAGTGATTCCATTGTGAGTTAGTTTTTTTGGCCTTTAACTGTGCAGGCTTGTTTGGTACTACATTATGTTCACTGTTAAATTTAATTCTGTGTATAACATAATGGCATAAACAAATGCCCATGCTTGATCACCACTTTCTTAGATTAGCTACCCAGTACTTTTAAATAGGGTATGTTCTTGTATTCTAAGACTTTCTCATGAATCGCATATGATATTACATAACCCCATCTATTAATACAGAATGCAAAATAACTTGTGAATTAATCCAGGTTTTGTTAGGCTTTCTCGTTTTTTGGAAGGTGTTAAAATGTACTAGATCTGAGTCTGGGCTTTTTGTACCTGTGTGTATGTGCTCACATGCTGACACATGAACATGTTCACTGAGGCAGACAGAAACCATGCTGTATATTCCTTCTTCATATTCGGTAGGTGGAGATCCCAGCCTGGAAACCAGTTTTCTCTGAGGTTTAATGTAGGTTTCTTTGTCCCTCCAGACAGATGTCAAGACAATAATGGGACAGACACGTCCACATTATGGACACACAAATCATCTTCCCGTTTGGTACTGTATAACCATTGCAGTTGAGAAAGCATTGTTAAAAAACCAAGACTTAGGCATCCATGGTGTTGATTATAATGAGTGTTCATATGTTATGTTTAACATAAAATGTTGATTTACTCAGTGCTTGAGGTGGAATGAAAGTAGAACCGGGATGGTTTTCCCCTTTTAATTCATAGACATAAATTATGAAAATATACCAAGTGATGTATATAGTCTGTGTTCCATCTAAGACCTACGAACATATTACAGTAGTTTAAATGGCATGCGTTAAAATAAAGTCACACATGCATTACGAGTACTTATCTTTAGAATATTTTCCAGATGTTTTCATTGCTTTCTGAAGTCACTGATCTTCTATCAGCGGGGGCTGCACAAGACTGGTAATCTGCATGTCGACGTCCTTTCTTTAGCCATTGTTTTACGTAATATTCTGCATCGAAAGCACTAAGAGGTGGTCCCACTGATTAAATAAACATTAAACTAGATGCTGTTTTTAAAAGCATCGAGCTTCAGATGGTTGAAATAATGTTGTTCATGTTGCTGAATGCACACTCACACTCTGCAGTTGAAATAATAATAGTATTTGCAGCTGCAATCAACGGCTTTAGTTTATCAGGATACGTGTCGTCACCATTCATTATATTCATGTAATATTCATGGAATCCATGAACTGAAGTTTTCTTACACACCATAAATGACTCAGTGAGTTCCCTAATCTCTTATCAGCAAAACATGGATCTTGACATTTTACCCACTTAGCCTTATCCATTATTTTCAAGTTGTCCAGTAACTGACTGTATTTGTCCCTGTTTGACCATGTTGTGTTACTACTCCCAGTGGATTCGTGTGAAGCTCTAGTGGTGAACGTTCGGGTGTTTATATTGTCACTTAATTTCTGAAAGAATTGTTGTTCACTAATCTTCTGCACTTTTCCATGTTCTAAGCCAACTCCTTTAAATTCTAATTTATCAGCAGCCATTAGAACTTCAGAATAATATTCACCTGGATTATTTGACATGGACTGAAAGACATGATACTTAACAAGAACTAAATGATGTGCTTCAGGCAATGTGATTTTCTTTTCTTGTAATTTTAAAGACAGGTGTTCAAGTTCTGTTAAAGCATCGAACAGAAGTCCCATATTTAGAACAAAGTTTACGTCGCTTAGTTTTCTTTTCAGCCCAGAATATTGAGCTCTCTCCCTTCCCGTGCGTTTTGGGTCTACAGGCGCATTGTGACAATGCTTATAAAGAGCAGGGTAATTATTCCACATGGCTGTCACAGACCGCACACTAGACGATATCCAACATGTCATTCCTAACACTCGTCCTATGGTATTTAATCTCATACTCAGTTGTGCAGCAACAGTTTCTAATTCAGATTTGTTCTTTGGAGACACGCTGTAAACGGAATAGAGTTTATCAAAAAATGATTGCATGTGGCACACTATTGACATTTCCCATACTGTATCATTCACCGCTATTTCTAATCGGTGATTACTACAATGCCAAACAATCAGTTGAGGATACATTTGGAGCAAAAGTTGTGCAACACCTGCATGCCTTCCAAGTAAATTAGAGGCCCCATCACAAGCAAATGAAATCCAATTTCGTGATAAAAAGTCACTGTGAAATCTGTTACTCTTGATATTGTTGAGAAAGGTGTCCCTGATCGTTGCAGCTGTAGTATTTTCTAATTCCACTATATCAAAAAAATAACTACGTGCATCCATGGAATCAGGCAGTTTGCAATGTAAACAGATTACAAGAGCTTCTTTTTTACTTCGAGTAGAAGTCTCATCGATCATGAAACCTATCCTAAGATCATTATCAATAATATATTTAACAAGTTTCTCATTTCATCTGCTATATGATCACAAATATCAGTGCACACATGATTAGACTGCAAGATACGCCCTATAGCTAAACCATTTAGTTCTTGTAAATCAATCAAAGCTGCTAAATCTGTCATAGGACGGTTCACTTTCGCTATTTGATAAGCTGTCCTAAATATGCGACAAGTTGTAACGTATTGTTTTTCTTGTGTTTTTCAGACATTCAATTGTTTCTTTTTTAGCAAGGCATAAAATGTCACTAGCTTTAACATGAGCTGCCGATAGTTTATGACAAGACAGTTTCTTCCTAATCGACTGTTGTTTCTTCTCTTTTGTTTCACCATATTCCTTGACCCTACCTTCACACCACTCACTAGATAATTTCAAACTTTGTGTTTTTGCAGGCCCTAGAGTTCCCACTGATTTACATGTTGTACAGCCTACCCCTTGTTTACTAATTGTCAACCACTCGTATATTTTCAATTTTTCTAGCCATTGATTTTGTGTCCAGATATTAGGGAAATAATTAACGTCATTTTCATGCACCTGATTTTGAGTCACGCTGTTATCTATTGCAGCTGTATTCACACATATGGTGGTTTCATCTTCGTTGCAGTGGATGGAACTTATGATTGTTTCACTTTTACTTACAGTAGCACACGGTTCATTACTGCCACTTTCACTTAACTTGGGTTTCTTACTGCGAATTATCCATTTCTCCATTTTCACCGATAAGTGAAAACTGATGCTGAACTAAAATAACATTTCGTACAGTTTCTGTCATTAAAGCAAGGATCAACCCAAGAACCCCCCCCCCACTAAAATTTCTGGCTAAATTCCCATTGGTTGGAATAGAATAAAATATGTGTGTCCTTACAGCTGGGACATGTCATCAACAACAGAAACTTTTGTGATTATTTACTGTAAACGTCTGACCCATCGCTTAAATGGGATGGGTTCTCACATTATTCTACAAGTTTATATATGTATTACCGGATGTGAGAATACAGCCTGTACCNGGCCACCTCCGCATTGGGATGGGATGCAAGGCAAGAGAAGGACAAACTGTTTCCGACATTGTATAATTTATTATCGGTCTTAAGAATACGAAAGTGAATCTTTCCTTAACCCTTAACCTCCGGAGTTTTGAAACGCAGGTAAAGCTAGCTGACCGGGGTTTATTTAAATGCCCGCTGCTTGCAGGGGTTTAAATCCACGTTTCTGCTCTACGTTTAAATGCCAGTTCCACTTAGAGCGCTTGAGCGTTGTATTTGGAATTGCTCTATCTAATACAATTTTTATAATAAATGAATGGAATTAACTAAAAAATTCTTCACACAGCAGTTCTGCAGTATACAATTTTTCCGCTCCTACACACAACAGTTCTGCAGTATAAAATCTTTCCTGTTTGTAACACTTGGGCTTGTTAGCAGAAACCCCATGCCATAAAAGTATGCTGGCCATAAGCCTATATATTTCTGTCTTCACAAGTTTCTCAGCTTATTCAGGGTATTTGGCGGAAGTTGATACAAAGGAAAATTGCCTGCCCCCTACACTCTTTGAAAAACCCTTATTGCTGCCAAACAAGCGTCTTCCATTTACTGGATCTGACGATTCTGAACAGTTTCATCCTGCTATCATCCTGCGGTGCGAAACTGTCACATAGGGACTTTCATCTTACCCTTATGCACAACATGCTGGAACATGCTGTAATGTGTCACTCCCAACCACAACGCCCATTAGGTCGACCTCCTGCTCTGTCATCCACAATATTTCGTCTAGAGGAGGCCAATCGACATCACTAGCTGACCTCTTTTGCCATGAGAATGAAATGCCGTGTTTGTTCTGCACGTGGAAAGAGGAAACGTGTTCAGACGAAGTGCGAGAAATGTGATGTGGGACTGTGCATTCTCGGGTGCTTCAAACAGTATCACACAAAAGCAAAATTTAGTTAGATGACGCAGGGTAGTAGCCTGTACAACCATGAAACAGATAACAACAACAACAGAAAAGGTATTGTACATTGCATTTACTGCCAAAGAAGTAACGGGATGCTTTTAAGCCATTTAGAAAAGAACCGGGATGCCATCCTGCCGCATCCCGCCCCACCTCAAGCCCTGAATTTACTTAATTCTAAATCTTGTATGCATAATAATATTGAACAGTTTTTTTCTAAAGATAAATATCTTGTTCATGGCAAATTAACATTTTTTTAATACCTTAATGTTGTTAAGCTTGTTTCACATAATGAGTCATCACAGATATTGGTATGCCTGATATGGTATTATACTAATTTGGCCCCTTCAAGTTGCTGATGAGGTGTTATGCCATGAGGTGTCCAAGATTGATACGTGTGTTTAAACAAGATATAGCGTTATCCTGGAATGCAAAGATAGTACAGGTATGATAGTTTTGTAATAGAATGTTTAAAAATTTTATTTCTCTGTGATGTTTAGTTTGGGAGTTAATGGTTACACAGCATTATATGTCAAAGTATTGTAGAAACGAGATAAGTTAGACAAGGTGATATTAAAGTCTTGGTATTTGTTGGTTCCAACATCACTATTTTGTGCTTCTTACAGATATGTATCTAAAATGTGTTGAAATTAATATACGTTAATCACTGGACCAGTTACTTACTTGTATATTACTACTTACTTAGATTCTAAGGGGTTCTGATGATGAAGTGTAACACTCGGAATGACCGGGTTTTTGGACCTTTTCCATCATCCACTATTCTAGAAAATAAAACAACGTTTTGGAAACCGGATCTGTTTCTGTCCTCAAGTGGGGGAGGAGGAAGACACCTACGAGCTAACCTCAGTCCAGTGAAATGTCATGTTTTCTATTTTCTAGAATACCTGATGATGTAAAAAGTCCAAAAACCCAGTCATTCTGAGTATTACTTACTTATTTATTACCACAGAAAGAGACACTGTTGTAATTACCCTTTGACCCTGATTCATTTGTGAAGATATTAACTTCACTCTAAATTTTAATTTTAGTTTACATAATTTCTGAGTATTTCAGTAAGTTTTTCCATAATTGTATCAGTTCTTAAATATGCCAGACTTTTGTATTTTTCATCACCTGTAATGTGTTTTCTTGTATTTTGATATCACTTCACTCATACAAGAATTTGTGTTCTACTAGTTAATTCCTTTCCATAAAAATATTGAAACATTTTGTAGCTTTTGGCTGCATAATTTTTCTCCCATTTTCACCAGAAATTTGAAGTTCACTCTGTTTTCTTAATTTATCACCTGTGTCTCTGGTAAATGGAAGTTTATGCCAAAAAAACACTTACCATAACCACAAGACATAAGATGAACTGAATCACAGTAACTGTTTAACGAATGACTACTAAGTGGTACAGTCAAATGAGTCAGCATACACAAACAAGTGGTTGTCATTTGCTGCACCAAAATATCTGTGTATTTCCTTAATTGCCAGACATTATATTCAGTGCCATGCAGTCTGAAGTGGGAGTGTACCTTCCATTTCAAGTGATTCCACTGAATGGGGGAGATGTTAAGCCTTAAACTGAAACTTTAAATCTAAAAAAGTCAAGTTATTAAATTGTTATATTTATTCATCTCTGTACATTTCATATGCTTATAGTCTATATAGAATCTGATTTTCATGCAAAATAAAAGAGTGATTGATTGAAGTAGCCATATTTATGAACTCAGATTATTTGGTGGGTATGTGCTTTTGTCTTCGAGCAATAGTTTTTAATTTAAAGTAGAGTCAGAATCAGTTTAATATGAAAATTAATACCTCAGGTCTTCTTAATCTTCTTTAACTTTCTTTGTACTATCACCACATTCCACTGTTGTCTAAGAAGAAAAAAATGAAAAACAAATGTGTTCAAATATTATGCAGTGTAGTTGGAATCTGTACCCATCTCATGCAATGTGTTAGTCAGCAGATATGCTATAATAGGCCAGTATCACTTCCCCTAACCTTCCTCATTAAATGGAATTTATAATCATTCTGCAATACCAAAGTTTAATATATCTGATGGCAGCAGTTGTTAAAGATTTGTTATACAGTATAACCAATAAATATGTGGCAGTATCTTAACATTAATAAAAGTATAATGTAATAAGAGCATGGTAACATTGCAATTGCATTATAAATATTATGACATACAAAAGATTAGTAATATCGTTTGGAGTATTACTTAATTCACCTTCTTGTAAATCTGGGAACAGTGAGGTTCGCAGTTTGCAACAAATCCATATTTAAAACTCCTTCCATCAACAAAAGAAAAGTGAACATGAAAATTGGCTGGGACCTTACAAAGTACCATCATTGCAAACTGAAGTGGTCAGTGTGGGCAGAGCAGTGGTCCATATAAATACCATCTCAAAAGGTGAAAGTATTATTTAAGCATTCACCTGGAGAGGCTGAAAAAATTCAGAATACCACAGTCAGTATAGCCATTGTTCCAGTCAGGGATTTATTTCAGGTATATCCCAAACACATGCAGACAACATGTTGCCAGCATATTTAGAGGGTTTCATGAAGGTGGACTGAAGTCTTTATCTTCAGTTTGCCAAGGAATGTTGTAATAACTTGATAGAAGTGTTTATAAGTGGTTGTAATTTGTTTTCAGGGTCCAACAGAAGCTGAACGAAAAATTGAGGAGTTGACCCGTCAGCTGGAAGAGGAAATGGAGAAGCAGGAAGAAGAAGGAGAATACTTTGGTAAGCTACTGTTCTTGAATTTTCTTTACTAGAAGAGTAAACATGTCCTGTGTTGTGCTTTACATGTATATGTATGTATATATGTATGGGGTGGGCCATAAAAACCGGCTCCCACACTGTGACATTCAATGATCTATTGTGCTTCCCCTTGGATTAGCCCATTATTAATCCTACACTTTTACACCCTGCTTATGGGGACATCATAGAAGTCATTTGGTTCCATAAAAAACTGACCTAAGTGACAAAATCTTAAATAAGCTATGGCCTCACAATCACACAGGATGTGTGGCTGATTCATTTCCTTGTAGGCACCTTTCACAAGTTGGGTTATCTGTCAGTCCCAACTTGAAAAGGTGTTCTTTTAGGTGACAGTGTCCAGTAAGTAATCCTACCACCCATCTTAGTTGATCTCTGTTTAATCTCAACAGATCCTTCGTTCTTCTGGCAGAGGGTCCTGCTATAAAACCCTTTGCCTGTTTGGGTCCAATTATGGATTCCCAGCATGTTTTATGATTTCTCTCAGTCCAGTCCCTGATCGCTTTTTTGGAAACTCCAGTTGAGATGCCACAAGCTGGTTCAGGTCCTATGAACGGCTGTTCAGATCCTGCTCTTGCCAGCTGATCTGCAGTTTCATTTCCAGCAGTACCCTGATGACCTGGCACCCACATCAGTTGAACTCTGTTATGTTTGGCCAGTTGTGTGAGGGATTGGTGGCAGTCCCAAACCAATTTTGAAGTGATTTGGTGTGTACCAAGTGCTTTAATTGCAGCTTGACTGTCTGATAGGATATAGATGTTCCTATTTCTATAGTTCCTATCTAAATTCTCAACTGTGCATGCCTTAATCTTGGCCTTGACATCCATGAGTCTGTTGAATCAGAAATTATTTTTTCCCATTGTTATATTATGTATTTACCATATGCGATTTGAGGTACTGGCAGCAGTGGCTTTACTGTCTGGTGGGATGTGATACCATGTGTTTTGATAGGTTTATCATAACAGATTTTCAAAACTTAATTTGTAGATCTTATTGAGATCTATATTTTATGTGATGTACTAATTTTTTGTCCACAGCTTTTTTGAGAAATGAGATAAAGTTTATAACCCCATATGCTTTTCCCTCAAAGAAAAGGCCTCAATACTCAGTGAATGGCAGGCTGGCTAAGTCCGAGAATTGGTCTAGAGGTGATGGTGAACAAAAAAGTACAAGCCTTTTCTGGAAATTTAATTCATGTCATCCAGCCATATCCAGTCACTACTGACTGAGCTGGCCCAGCTCAGCCATACTAGTGTATAAGCCAGTGCACCAAATAAAATGTCATACACTCAACTCTCAATTATCTGGGATAATGGTGGGGATGGAAATCATGATTAATCGAAAACCGGGTTAAGACAAATTTTATTAAATGTAGTCCTGTAATACTGTACCTTCATAATACTGTAATGTGTTTTGCCATTGAAGACGTCGTTCAGATTGTTAATTGGTTTATTTAACAACCTACAAGTCTCAGCTACAATTAATTACAACAATGTTACGGGTTTATACACTTTACAAACCCTACACACAAATCTGTCCACTCTGTCCTCAGTAGTCTACACATGTTCACAGTAGGATAGGGGAGCTATACAAGTGTCACTCTATCACACACTCCCAATTATTTCTCTTGTGAGCCAAGCATCTGCTTCTCACGCTATCACTTCCAGTCACACGTTCCAGTATTCTTCTTTCTGCTACCGCTGCTAGATGCCAACTGTCTTCGGTGGCTGCTACACTTTAACTCGCTTCATAGGCTGCTACACTTTAACTGACTTCGTAGGCAGTGTAGTTCTCTTATAAAACCTCAGCCGGACAACAGGAAAATGCCTTGCTTCCTTGTTGCCTAGTCGCATGTTTACTGGCATTGCTGGGCTTCCCTGCCGAGACTTGTTTACGGCTACGTAGCAACTGCGGCGTCCCGTGTTACGTAATGGGTACTGCTGATTATTACCGTCGTCTCTAGCAACCACTGTTTAACTGTTTACTCGCTTTGTGTAGCGACCAGTGTGCTTGGATTCAGCTCACTTCGGCTCCGCTCGGCATGTCACCGCTGGCGGGGGGGGGAGAGGGGGAGGGTATTGACCTGCCTATTACCATAGCAACGGCAATGCTCTGAAAGTGTTACGTCACCACTGGCAGGGTGAGGGGGTGTCCTCCATAGCACAACACGTGACACTACTATAGGCCTACATGTATTTAAATTTATTAAACCTCATTTTTATGTTGTCTCACGGCCTATTTAATACTTATTTTTTACATTACACTGAAGTATGAATTAGTTATCTCAATCACAGTGTTCAACAACATCCAACACTTTTTACAAATATTCACACTTAACACTTAAAAAAATTTAATATTGTCGTTTGCTTTTTAGCGGCATTTTCCTTTTCACATGTTTCTGTACGAAGCCTACGTAATTTTAGCTTGTCACTTAATAAACTGTTCTCTTCACTCCCAAGATAGTCTAGTAAGGATTCCAAATGATTAAGAGCAGCACCATGTGATATTTTCTTACTAGCAGCACTGTCCACCTCTTCCGCATTCTCCCTTCCCGCTCTTCTGGCTGCACCCCCACTGAACTTGCGATTTTGTCACTGCTTACCATTTCGAAGCCCAGCTCACACGAGTCACAGTCAAACCACTCTCTTATATTTTCCTTGTTGACTTCTTCACCGCCATGAACTTGGTTAGCCAATTTTGTCAATTCTATGGCTATCTCATTTTCACTGAATCCAGTGAATCCATGGATTTTGTCATGTTGATTAGTGATGAAAGGCATCAGTTTCATCCATGAATTTTTCAATTCAGATGGCTTTACTGTATCCCACGCTATTGAAATCTCGTATATGGCATCTAACATTGAAAAGGCTTTCAGAAACACGTCAGATCATTGCCTTCATTGATGTACTTTTGTAGCAAATTTGATCTGTAGATTCTCTCCATACTTGAGATAACTCCTTGATCCATTGGTTGGATAAGTGCGCTAACATTAGGAGGAAAATATTTCACAAAAATATTTCCATCATCTGACCTCAGGAGACTTTCGTTAGGATGTGAGGGCGCATTGTCAATGAGGAGCACAGCTTTCTCAGGTAGGCCTTGGGATTTTAGATGGTCACGAACTTGAGGCACGAATTTAAAATCAAACCATTCTTTAAATAT